GGGTTAAATGTGTCACCCAGGCTGCTGGGTTAACTGTGCAGCCCGATTGTTATGACAGATGAACCCTTTCCTGTATTTATCCACCAGATTGGCTGTATTTTTGCTTCTAACCCAGCATTTATTGCAGAGCATAGTCTTTAAAATGGTGCCAAACAACACAAAGCAAACGAGATTGATTCCTTGAAAAGAAATACGTAAGAAGTTCTCTTCTTGTACATTGTGTTAAGAAATGTCTCTGCGTCAGTCAGATGTGTGTTGCATTGAGTTGTGTTTTTATCTCTGCTCACACCTGAGGCTCTGATGTGTTTCTACCGCCACCTAGCGACCATTAAACAACACTGAACCACAGCACAGGACTGATTTAACTCATAATCCATAACCAGAACCAGCATAAACCAGCATCCCAGCGTCAAAACATACCTAACCAGCATATGCTGTTTTTTTCAACAGGGAAATAGAATGATTTAATGCATATCAAATCATAACTGCTGTAAGAGCATTTGGTTTCTCGGTGCCAACCTGAATGAAATTGAAATATCAGTAAGGGTTAGTTTGAGTAATTTCATTCATCCTGAGAAGAAACGTCCTGAACTGAAGGCTTGTAAACTTGTGTTTTCTGTTTTTACTCTGCAAACGTGAATATTAGCAAGTTTATAGTCACGTAAAATCATGTTTGCTTGTTTATGCCACATAATGGTTATCCTTCCACAGATTCCAGCGCCCTGAGCTGTTGCTCCTTTCCTCCTAGAATGGTTTTAAATGTTTGTTTGTTTGTTTTCCGCCTTATACTGAGCTATAATTTGGGTTAAATGTGTCACCCAGGCTGCTGGGTTAACTGTGCAGCCCGATTGTTATGACAGATGAACCCTTTCCTGTATTTATCCACCAGATTGGCTGTATTTTTGCTTCTAACCCAGCATTTATTGCAGAGCATAGTCTTTAAAATGGTGCCAAACAACACAAAGCAAACGAGATTGATTCCTTGAAAAGAAATACGTAAGAAGTTCTCTTCTTGTACATTGTGTTAAGAAATGTCTCTGCGTCAGTCAGATGTGTGTTGCATTGAGTTGTGTTTTTATCTCTGCTCACACCTGAGGCTCTGATGTGTTTCTACCGCCACCTAGCGACCATTAAACAACACTGAACCACAGCACAGGACTGATTTAACTCATAATCCATAACCAGATTTAAGTGAAAGTGAAGTGACATGTGGCCAAGTATGGTGACCCATACTTGGAATTAGTGCTCTGCATTTAACCCATCCAAAGTGCACACACACAGCAGTGAACACACACAAAGCGTGAACACACACCCGGAGCAGTGGGCAGCCATTTATGCTGCGGCACCCGGGGAGCAGTTGGGGGTTCGGTGCCTTGCTTCAGAGAGAGCGCTGTACATTCACTCCCCCCACCTACAATCCCTGCCGCTACGAGACTCGAACCCGCAACCTTTTGGGTTACGAGTCCGACTCTCTAACCATTAGGCCCCGACTTCCCCAGGAAAACAAAATACTATGGAAGTCAGTGGCAACCACCAACTGTTTGATTACCAGCTATCTTCAAAATATCTCATTTTGTGTTCAACATAAGAAAGCAACTCATACAGGTTTGGAACGACATGAGGGTGAGTAAATGATGACAGAATTTCATTTTTGGGTGAACTGGCCCTTTAAATGTATGGGGCTGTCACGTGATGAACGAACGACTCGAGACAGGTGAACTACTGGACTAATTCCAGGACAGAACCTATAGGATGTTGCGCATGCGCGACTGAACGAATCACTCCTCGAGACGACTCGTTCTTCCCGAGTCACATTAAAGATTCGTTCAAGAACGACCCAACACTAGTATTGGGCTAATCAATGGGGTTTTTGTCTTTCAGTTGAAAAAAAACCCCAGGTAATATGTTTTTCAAAGAAGAAGAAAACTCCTTAAGTTAAATTAAAGTTGTATAAACAAACATTAGAGCAAGTATCACTAATAAGATATCTGGGAGTATGGATGGATTCCAAATGAACATTTGGGTCACATATTCAGACGTTAGTTGATAAATGTAAGAAAGGAGTCAATGTGCCGAGGTGCTTGGCAGGAGTAGAGCTACTAGACGTTCTCTTAAAAGGGTATACAGTACATTAATTAGGTCAGCAATTGATTATTGTAGAATAGTATATGGCTCAGCATCAACCTCATTATTAACTAGGATAGAGGTGATTCAAAACCAAGCCCTTAGAATGTGTTGTGGAGCGTTTAGATGCTCTCCTGTGATCGATTTGCAGGTAGATTCGTGAAATTCAGCTTAAAATGGTATATTGGACTGGTATTAAAGGTAATTTTACCAATCATCCAGTAAAAAAAATAATGTAGAGCTGCTGGGAATATGAGCAGACATATCTGAATAGCTTTGGCTGGACAGTAGGCAAGCAGGCTCAACAAATAGATATCAGTAATATCGATATTAGCCCCACGGTGGCTCTGCCAGTATATCCACCTTGGCTCTTCTCTATGCCAACAGTTGATTTGCAAATATTTAATTTAATAAATGAAAACAAGAAATATGTTCCAAAAGAGACAATAGTGCAGCAGCATTTAGATAGTCATTACTTTAGTTTTCACAAATGTATACAGATGGTTCTAAAGACCCAGAAACTGGGCGTACAGGTGCTGCCATGTGTATTCCTCACTTTAAATATAAAGCTGCAAAAAGAACTTCTAATAATATATCAGTATATGCCGCAGAGATGATCGCTATTCAGACAGCTTTACAGTGGGTGGAAGAAATCCAACCAGCAACAGTGTAATCTGTGCAGATTCATATTCTGCTCTCACAAGCATACTGAGTGGAAAATTGGAATCTAGACAAGATCTAGAAGTACTGCAAAGTTTGTACCGAATACAGAATCTGAGAATTATAGCAGAATTTGTATGGGTGCCTGCTCATGTTGGAGCGGAAGGAAATGAGGAGGCACACAAATATTGACATACATATACCCTTGAGTAAATCAGAAATTAAAGGTTTAATTAAAGTAGCTGTCAGAAAGATATGGTAAGAGAGATGGGA